GACTAATTATGAAAATTTTTTGATATATTAAGAACATATGTAATTCTGCTATCTTTCAATAAAGATATTATGAAACTAGATAATTCAAATTACAGAAATTTATCTGTTATTCTAACTGTAATAATTACTGCTACTGCTACTGCTACTGTTACTATTAACATTAATCATAACTACGACCTGCTACTCGAGGCATTGCTTCAACAAATATTATCCACAGGAAGGATAAAATTTTATCTAGCTAGTAATATATAGTAGTTTTCGTGTGAATATCCCGTGATGGGTCCGGATAAAACCTGTTGCAAATTAAATGTCAGGTTATTATACAGGCATGAAAGCCTTAAATTTGTACTGTAACAGTTTATGGTTTAGTGTGGGAAGTTTTTCAAAAAGCATTCGTGGCTTTGATTCGAATCTATTTATCCCTTAGCCATTATTTACAGCATTAGTAATTAGTATTAGAGAAATTTAGCTGGAAAATATGATTTTATTATTTTTAGTAATAACAAATTCGCGTAGTAAATAATCAGATTGTGCGTGTCATGATGAAGATTTTATGAACCTATCTAATTAACATCATCAACATTGCTCGTTCATTATTCTTTCTATTATCGAAAAATTGTTTATAGAAAGTATTAGTATGTTGTAAAGCAATGACGATAAAACCAATCGAATCAGTCAAAAGGGACACAAAAGAGTTGATTTTATTTATTTTAATAATAATCTTTCATTTTTATTATTAAATAAGAAGAAAATAATGTAGAAAAAAAAACAACACAAATATTACAATTATTATTATTATTAGAGATTAAATTAAACTATTACTATTATAAAATTATCATTTTATATATACAAAAATTTAAATATATTTACAAAACAAAATAAAACAAAACAAGAAAAAAAAATAAATAAAAAAAAATAAAAAAAATAAATAAAACAAATAAATTTTATGAAATCTTTTTGTGATTGATTGGATAATAATACTCTTCATCATTCTCAAAAAATCCACTGTCACGTCGTCCTTGAAAATCAACAATTTTTACATTCACATCGCCACCATCGCTATTATAATCACTAAGAAAATCATCATAACTACTACTATCACTAGAAGAATCAGTATCATTCGCTGCTGTTACAGAAATTGAGCTCGTTGTAAGATCATTAAAGTCAATAAAAAAAGATATCGAGGATGAAGTCGACGACGACGACGACAACGATGATGTAGACTGTCTTCGTTGTTTATTATTTGTTTTATTATCCTTGTTGGATGAAGAAGAAAATAATCCTAGGTAGCAACTAAATTTGGTGTCATCGGATGAAGGTAATGGAGGCAAAGCGACTTCAAGTGATAATTCTCTCCAATAGTCATCATGATCAAAATAATTTTTACTTGAAGAATTGGAAGAAGAATGTGATCGATGGGTATGTGAGGGTGATGGAGATGGGGACAGACAAATATAAGATGAAAATGAAGTATTTTTTCGTCGAAACCTCATTTTTTTTTTTTTTTTTTAATAATAATTATTATTAAATGGTTTTTTTTTTAAAAAATAATAAAAAAAAAGAAATTTTTTTATTAAAACGGCACAAGTTTCTAAAGTTATAAAATCTAAAGGAATAAAAAAAAATTAATTCATTATTTATTTCATTAATAAATAATAACTAGTATAGTATTGAAATTATTTTTTATTAAAAATTTCGTACATTATATATGTATTTATTTTTTTTTTTTTTAAAGAAAATCAAATTTTTTTACGAGAATTCAAGAGTATAAATATAAAACAATTAGATTTTTAGAATTTTAGAAGGTCAGCCATTTCATTTATATTAATAAAGAAATAAATAATAATATTCATTCCCCTTTTTATTATTTATGTAATAAAGGAAGTAAAAAAAAAAAGTTGGAAGATTTAGGGGGCTTTTGATGTAAAAAGAAATAGAAATCTTTGATAAGACATTGAATATCAAATGATCATTAATATTAATGGTAAGGATCGTGCCGAATTTGTTATTAGTATGAATAATTCCATCTTTTGTTTTTCTCTCCTTAATATTAATATGAAGAGAAAAAATTCCTTATTTTAAAAATATATTCTTTTTTCTTGATTTTTGATTTACATACTCGTTTTCATTCATTAAGGCTACAGGAATATTTATTAATAAATATAAATAAATGCATAAATTGGAATTCATTTAAGGTTTTTTATATCAACTAAATGAATAAAGAATAAATAAATGAAATAACGCACGCTTATCGGCTTATGCAATTGCATATAAAAAGTTTACACAGACAAAATTAAAAAAACCTTGTTGAATGAAAAGACCCTGTAGTACAACAGCTTCCCGCCTGTCGATCCTACAAATTTCAATAATTTTTATTTTTATTCATTGTCTCATCATAAAATTATTTGGAAAGAACAATGAAGAAACAATTTATTCTTGGATCATTAAAAAAACAAAAAACAAAAGTCCAAATATTATAATCAAAAATTTGTATTTTTTTTCATGTTCTTTTTTTTAAAAAAGTTCATCATCATCGTCATCATCACTGACTGTCACAATAAAAATTCAAAAAGGAAAATTCAAAAGACATGATGCGTGTCCTACTTGTATCAAATATAACAACACTTACGCATGGCAGCTAATTCGTGTGACTCATGCTTATTGGCTCAAGGATGGACTAATGGCAACGAAAAAATTTAAGAATTGTACACAGTTGGAAGCAATATTTGGAATGAATAAGTCCTCTATGAAAACTTTATTGACGTTGTAAAGATAGACGAAGGTGGTTTTGTAGTTTTTTGCAAGGTAAGAGCCAGCAATCTAAAGTGATGATATAGGTGTGGCAATTAAAAAATTACGAAAGATTCTTGACAAAAGATATCTTTTTATTATTTGACTATATACGATATATATTTATTATTATTTTCACACAATATTAACGCTATGGTAGTTTAGAAAACATATTTGGTCTTTCAATTTCCTATTATTATTAAAAATTTATGTCAGTTCACAAAATCCAAAGACCAAAAATATATTATGGTAATAAATTATGTGTCTGCGAATTTATTTGAAAAAAGAACTAAAATGGAAAAAGAACACTGATTTTATATATAATACTACTTGAAGGTTATGTGACATTAATGATGACAATTTGCAACGTTGTGATTTTCATAGTGTTAATGTCCTTTATTATTATGGTTTGAAACTATCAATTCCAATAAAATTTAATGTTATCGATAAAATGATAATAATAAAGATATAAACGCGTTGCCAGAATTGTAGTGTAAATAGTCTTGGGCAAAAAAGTAGATATTCATAATTAATGCCTCTGAAATATCAACAGGTCAGCAGCCAGATTCACCATCTTTTATCGATGACGTGCAAATTTTCTGCAAATAAACCAAAAAATAGCAAATAAGTCAAACTTGGTTAACATCACGACCGTCTACTAATAATGTGAATACGATATTATAATGCCTTGTCCAAGACATTTCTTGTTTATAATAATTTATTAATTATTTGAAGTTCTCCATATAGATAATTGGAGTAATCAGTCATTGCCCAGGATTTGCTTGTTTTGTTGAATTTTTATTTCCAACTTTTGAGTTTTAGGCCACCACGCGGACCTTTTCTTCATAAACTCTTAAGCAACACCTTGTTATTTAATTAATTCAGATTTTGGCTTTGAATCTATTTTAGGAATCGGATTATGCTCTATTTGCTTAATTTTTTGTTTTTTTTTCAATCAAATAGACAAATTTTATTCCTTTTTCTTTTACGAAGATTGTTGAGAACCGATCCTGTTCTAATATTTTAATTATTTAAATTAGCCCTTTGAATTTTTGATTAGACATTAAACGCTTTAATCTAAATTCCCAATTGGTTGGTAGGATCATTTCTTTTCGGAATTCACATAGTTGCTTGAGATAAGTTGGTGCAGTTTGTTTAGTCTTACCAAGTATTTTTTGTTTGATCACTCTTAAATCTACTAATTATTGCTCGTTTTCATCTTGTTTTTACCAGGTAATTTTTTTTGGACCATCGGAAGAATTAACAAATCTATTTAAATCAGTAAGTATGGTTTGAATTTGTTTTTTTGTAGCCCAAGGATTAATTTTATTAATTTGGATTAAACAACTAGATCAATAAATAGTTTTCTTTGAAGGAACCTAGTCATGTGATATCTAGCAACATTGTTTTCGAAGAAATTTCAGGGCATTTTATTGAAGAGTCAGCCTTAAGTTTATGAGTAGGCTTCTTAGAGGAATGGTTTTATAATCATTTAGATTTGAGTATGACCTTGAAATAACATCTGCACCATATGACTTATTTTATCTATCCCGAAAGGGAAAAATCCATTTTTTATAATAAAGAATTAATACTGTCTGTATCGTATTTAGAAATATAAATAAAGGGTTGTAGAATAATTTATCACTTGAAAATGGTTGAAAAGGGTTCAGAACCAAATATGAAAACCGAGAATTCGCTCTTTCAATAAACACTTCGATTTAGTAGATTAACAATACTAATTGTCTCAAACCACTGTAATCATTAATAAAAGTCTTTATACGAATTACCATCTATTTGTATAAACGTCCAATCAAAGAAACGAACTATTACAAGAAGCAATAGTTAATTTAGCCGAGTTTATAATAATACTATAAATGATTGACGCAACTGTTTAGAATTAGAGATATAAGATAATAATAATTTTAGTGTACTGCGCATTCTTGTTATACGAATCTGTCAATTAAATATCTATTATCGAACGACAAGTGATTCAATAACTTGGTTGTTAAGAAAATATTTAATTTATTAATATAATCACAAATTAAGGAATATATCCCGCACTATTTCGCCAAACAATGTATAGTCGATCTTTGATCTTTTTTGTACAAATTTGCCACTTTGGTATTTGAAGGAAGATATGGTATAATTTCATTACTATACTTGGCTCTTTTTATTTTTTTTTTGGAAATTCCATTATTGTTGGACATAATCTATTTTGATGTTCCTTCCCATAGTGATACCGGCATGAAATTTCTTCTTGATTGGCTTGACATGCTTTGATACAAAGAAGCTAAATTTTGTGCCGTAGTTTCAGAAATATTTTCTCTAACATTTAAACTTTGTTTACTAGTTTCATGGTCTTCTTCTTCTTCTTCCTCTGTAAATGCAAACAATTATTGCATCAAACCCTTATCCTATTCGAAACATTTTGGGTAATGGGTGTTTGTTTTTGCGCCGACTCTTGAATAATGGATACTTGACACTGATATAACATTTCGAGAAGAATATCTGACTTTCAATAATTCTATCTATGATTTGATAGAACTGACGTTTTTTCAAAATCTTCATATTTTGTTGGAGTATTTTATTTTGACACTTAATTTCTTTGGAATTTTCTTTGTGATCAAGGTGCATTATACCCTCCGCATATCTTATTCTTTTTTCTTTGAACCGAATTTCTTTATACCATAGAGAACAACTAAGTATTAAAGCTGCAGCTTGAGCACCACCATTTTTTTTCACTGCCATATTTGCATACTGCAGTTGCATTAGATTTATTGTTAGAATTATTTATTAAAATAAAAAATTCTCTGTAACAATGTGATTAAGCATTCTTTTTTGAGTATTTAATTTTTTTTACTTGCTTCAGATAAAAATGGTGTTTTTTAAGAAGAAGTTTTGGCATTAATTGAACATTTTTATAATAATAATATTTAAATAAAGAAAGTATTTTTATTGGGAAGTGTTCTGTTAATTCTGATTGGTTAATTTATAACAAATGACAAATGACAAATGACAGATGATCATAATAATAGTAATAGTATATGGCCATTGATCATAATAGTCATATGACCAAGTCATTTACAACAAATGACAAATGACCAATGACTACATGTCATATGACTAAATGACTTGGTCATTTGTCATAAAGGGTATGTGACCTTGTCATATGCCAACACTGCCAGGTACAGTATTTATGCAACTTTTCTCGATGTAATGAAAATCCTTTCATTGCAATCCAGGCACAGATTTTAGAATGATTTCATTAATAATATTCGATGCAAGGTTTGAGAGATAATCAAAACCAACAGTTGTTAGAGTTTATTCCTACCACTACCATGTTAGCTCTCTTAGTAAATGATCGTCGCCGAATCCAAAATGCTGAAATTTACTAAATAGCCGAAAATTCTGGGTAGTTTTTTTATGACTATTGATATGAAGAATATTGTAAATCCGAAATTGCTTGCCGGAATTGATTTTTTCAAAATCCATTTCGGCTAACATCCTTAGTCAATATTCCATTCAATAAAAATTACATGCAGTTTTTCTTAAATGTGTAATATAAATGATAGCCTTTATTCATAATAGGGTAAGGAATTACCTGTAATTAAATTGTATATAAAATAGTATAATAATTCATAAAGAAATATCTCTTTAGGTATTGACATATTAGAGATGTCACATGTTTAAACAACAATCTATGCTTTATTTTACATCTAATGGAAGAGTCTCATCTGTGATTGTATTGGAAAAAAGTATTTTGAAGTTACTATTTAAATCCCTTTGCTTCTAGTAGAAGTTCATGAAAATTATTTCATTAGTAAACTATATATTATTTTTTTTCATCTTACATATAATTACAAAGTTTATCTGAATATTATTATGTAAATTTTTTGTGTATAACAATAATATTTATAAATTTATAAAGTCAATCCAGATTGAACATCTTTGGCATGACCTAGAAACACGTTATTTCCTACCTAAATTCCTTCTTACAATAATTTTCTGATCGAATTGGTCTCTATGGAACCCCAATTATTGATTTATAAAATGTTAAACATCCCTCGTGCTTCTTAAGTCGGCAATTTTTTGCCGAGAAAAGGTTTATTAGTTTTTTTTTAATAATCAAGCTTAAAAATATTTAGGGCCAAATCTCCTAATTTTTATAGCCAGCATAGACATTTGCTATAGTAATAATAATAAAATGCAATCGTTAAATATTCCCGGCCAACATTTTAAATGAAATGAATTAGCATAAACAAGTTATTCGAAAAAGTGTCATTCTTTTGGAAACCAAAAAAAGAGCTTGCCGTAATTGTTTCAATTTTTGATTTTTGTTTTTATAAGAAGTAAAAAATACTCTCGGTAATTTCATTTCTCATCAACCATCCAAGTGTAATAGTAATAAAAATGCCCGGTGTCTCCTTTTTTAGAAGCCTTAGACAAGATGTTATATAAAACTTATATAAAAAGAAAGCTGACTTACAAGCATGAAAATATTGATGAAGGTTCATTTTATTTGATCTAATACAGTGCGTTGCGTGTCTCATGATAAGTGAAAAAAAAATCAGATTCATTTAAAAGCTTATTATTATTATTATTACTATTATTGAATGTTTTATCAAATAAAAAAAATTTGACATTGACTTGCGAAGCTAACTCATATAACTTTTGATGAAATTTCTACCATTAATTGCATTAATTCACTCACTAGCATCTTTTTCATGACCTGTCTCACATGTCTGCTGATGATGATAAAAAATGATTTGATGCAAGTATTATATTAACCAAGACTTGAGGGTTTAAGTGCAATAGAGAAAATTTTTTTTGTGATCTTTTGTTTATTGTTCTAGAAAACAAATTATATTGCAAATGACATTTTTTTCGCAACACACATTTGAATGTCAAACCAAGTGTATTAAATATATTCAATATTTTATAGCCTTTATTCTAATATTTTTATTTTGCAAATGTCTAAAGAGTAAAAAGTTATTAATCGTCTACGGAGACATGAAACAGCAGCACGTTTTTGATTTAATGTCCATACACAAACAAACTAATTAAACCTCTGATAGAAAACGAACATTGGAGAAATTACTGTATTCATTTAAATATTTACAGCCACTCTTTTAAAAAATAATGACGGCTTTGATAGTAAATAAGTGTATTTTTTTTTTGAAAAATTATCAACCCGTCCCATAGATTCGTTGAAATAAGGTTTGACTGTATATGTGTGGACAAATTTTAGAAGTTCTTCTACTCAGCAAGCTGAATCCCAATTGATTAAAATAATGTAATATTATTATTATATAATTTTAGTTAAAGGTGAATCTTTTTTGAATCCGGATATTTAGTTGACAAATGTTATGGAATTTACCATTTCCAAATACAAATTAATATTTGAGTATTTCAAAGAAATTACTTGGGATATAACTTGAATCACTTTATAGGATGTCAAATGAGTAATTGCAAATATATTATTTAGTACTTTTATTCAATACAAGTACTTTGATCGCGGTAATTATTTGGTAACAATTGTAATGATGGTGGAAAGATATATGAAAATTATTGAAATTTTAATAATTTTTTTATAATAACTGATAAAAAATGAACGTCTATAAATCATTAAATACATATAAAAAATAATAATAGTAGTAGTAGTAGAAAGTATATATATATATATATATATATATAAATAAATAAATAAATAAATAAATATTGGATAATATACAATAATGAATCTAAATCTAAAAAAATCTAAAATAATAATAGTAATAATAATAATAATAATAATAATACATACTAATACATTTAAATAAAAGATTATAAATGTTAATTTTCCTTTTCGTCATCAACGCTATGATTGCTATTATTATTACTGCTATTACTACTACTACTACTATTACTAATACTATTAATACTACTAATACTACTAATACTAACACTACTGCTACTACTGTTATTACGGTTATTATTATCATCAATATTATCACTATTATTTTCAGGATAAAGTGAAAATTTATCCAAATCAACAAAATCAATCGCATCCCCATCACCACTCTTTATCGAAAAAGGAGTGGAAATTTCCAATAATTTATCAATAGCCTCATTCATATTACACTCTTTACCATAAAAAATATCTCCACACAAATCTGATTCTATGTCGGGGAACATGGATTTAAGTGATTCTAATGATTTTTGAATATCTTGATCAGTGACTCGTGCAACTTCTTCTTGTACATGAGCATAATCACGTGAATTATGAGATGACAAGGATTCTAATGATATTGATCTTTCCATTCTTTGTGGTCCCGTTGTCACCATCTCGTTGTTAATATTAATGCCATTGTTGTTATTATTATTGTTGTTTGATAATAAATTACTTGATTTATAAGATAACAGTTCGCTGATTGTCAATCGTCGAGGAAGATTAGAAGGATTAGCGGTGAGATTAGCAGTGACATTGGCGGTGTTGATGGGTGCATTATTACGTGGTACCGATGAAGAAGTTGACGATAACGAATCTACTGTATCCGGTGAAGAAACAGTATCATTATTATTGTCATAATTATGATTAAAATCAAGTTGATATAACACATGTTCTTGAAGATCTTGATTAAAATCTGATAATATTTTTCCTACAACATTTAAAGGTCTTTGAATTGATTTTTGAGCAATGATAGTGCCTTTTTCAAATATTGCTTTTGCTTTGGCGTGATTTATACCTTTAGTATGATTATTCGGAGCAATTGATCTGGATGATGGATGTACGGTATTCTCGTAATTAATTTCTCTAGTATTTTCCAGAGGTTTTGGTCGTTCTCTGTCAAGCTCCTTCACTGTCATCTCAATATTTCTAAAATAATAAAAAGGGAAAAGTGTGAGAATGAACGAGGGAATATAATAAAAAATCAACATTAACTAATTAATTGATAAAATTTCAAAAATATTACTTGTCAAATTCTTCTTTTGTTATGGTCAATAAAGGGGCGTCCATATTTTCAATAAAAGAAATTGCACTCATCTAACATAAAATGTTAGGGATATGTAATTAACATATAATTAATATAACATTATTATTTGTAGCTCATTATTTGCCAATGGATAAATAAAGACTTACTAAACTAGATAAATAATAACCAGCTTCGGATTGTAATTTTTCTGGACTCCTAAATCTATGAATATATCTAACCATAAAAAATTAGTGACATTAGTAGGAAAGTTTTTGACTATCCAAATATTCAAGCATTAAGATATATTTTTGAATATATGCGTTGACTTACTGAACATTAGACATTAAATGTTCGGGATTTGCTTTTAAAATAACAAAAATTAGTACCGGTAAAAATTTATCGGCTCCTTCTTCGCCATTAACATATTTTATTAAGCCTATTAATTAAATAATGTTGTATTAATTAATTCGTTAATAAATTATTTCTCTATAAAAAACCAATCTTTTTATAAAAGATAATCTAAAAAAATAAAAGGTCACTGCTCACCATATATGCCTTTACAACAATTAAGTATACAAATAAGCTTATCCCTTGGAGCTTTATAATTATTTATCTTTAATAGTTCTAAAAAAAATCAATTGATAAATTTATTCGATTAATTAATAAAATTTCTTACAAGTTTGTTTGTTTATACGTTACGTACCTTTTTTAGCAAAATTCAAAAAAGATTCATTGCGTGAAGTAATCGGAATATCTAAATGTTGTTCTCTAACCCATCTAAATATTTCTATTTTTTGATGCAAAATGTTATCAGATTCTATATCATCAGTTACAGGTGGCTCTTTAATTGCAGGTGTAAAAGTTCTAAAAAAAAATTCGTTCATTCATTCATTCATTTTATATTTTCAACCTTTAATAAAAACAAATAAGACCTACAATTTATATAGTAGGCTCATCACCAATTTCTCCATTCCTTCCCTTGCATTTTCAAATTCTTGTTCTGTTGCATTCTTCCATAACTCACATTCACGCATTTTTCCTGCTATAAACTAACCAAAATAAATAAAATGTGTAAGTGCATACCAATAAATTTGCAATAAATTGACATAAGAAATGAGTATTCTTAGCGTACGTCTAGAAATTCATGCACGAATTTGATTTGATCACTAACTGCTCTAGGATACCTTTCAAATTCTAATTCAAAACTAAACGATAAAAAAAAGGCAATGATTATTTCAATAAATTATTTAATATTTTTTAATATTATTGATTAAAAAAAAGAAATTAAATAATTACTTTCTAACGTATCTTACAATTTTTATTGCATTTTTATGATTCATTTGTTCAAGAAATTTTTGATAATTAAATGGTATTTCTTTTTGATACGAGTTTGATCTATTAACGCTATTATTACTGTTATTTACATTTCTATTTGTAATTACAGTTGAAGTGGTTTCTTTTCCTTCTGACATGATTATAATTTGATAATTTAATTAAAAAGTAAGGTCAGTGTGGTTTTTCAAAGAAAAAAATCTTCTCTGTTCATATAAGTATTACAAGTCAATTGTACATCACCATATCTGGGATAGTTTCAAAGTTGTGCTAAAGCCACAACAAGCCCCATAAAAAAAAGTATTTTAGTATCACATGTTTTATTACACAAAAATGATACTAACCTCTTATATTAATTGAATTTATACTAATACCAAGTACTCGCTTGTTGTTTTTCTGTAATATATTTTAAAAGTATATTACGACCATTAATGGTGTATTTGCAAGATGTACAATTAAAGATCTTTGAACCGCCCAGATTTGACTTGATGACTGCACGTTTTGCTAGTGTATTCCTCAGTGCAGACGACGACCTTGAACCAAGGAACTCGTGGGATTTGTGTAGCAAATGTTAGCGAAACAGTAATATGAATAGATCAACATTTGTCTTGTATTTTTAGAGAGATTTTTCTGTGGCTGCATTTTTTAACCATGTCTTGCGTTTTAAACTCAGGGAGCACAACTGCGTGATGGTTTTCTCACAGTCATCTTGCTAATCTTCGATGACAAGATTACGATTTTTCTTGTGGACCTGGAGCATTCACCGACAGAGCTTATACCATATACGTTACATTTATTTGCTTTGCCATCAATAGAATTACTTTCACTTTGGATTCTATCATAAATGCAAGCACAAGAGATGTATTCTACTAATATCCTCTTTTCCCCATTATATAATCTCACCACTTGGATTATATCCAATTATGAAGGTTCTCACTCCTGGACCAAGAGAAATGATGCCGGCGCCTTATTTTCTTCAAACACCGAAAATTTAAGACTTTAGTTATCAACCTTAATTTCAAGTAGTTTGGAGGATACACGGTAGAATTCACCAAGACGATTCATGGTGAAACAAAAGTCATGATTTATTTCAGGCATTTTTTCACTCGTTTTAATATCTTTGAAGAATAAATAATGACCACGATTTCTTTCCCAGTCTCTTGATAGAATAGTGATTGATTGCAATTGATACTTTTTACTTCAATCTAAAGTTTTTCCTTTTTAAATCCATCCCTAATGTCATAAGACTTGTTGGTGTCTTTAAATTTTTCAGATTTATTAATGATATAATTTTCACGTAAATACTTTTTGTTTTTATTTTTTATATCATGACTAATTGCAGCTAGGAATTGGTTGCACGTCCAACGCGCAGTACGAATATTTTAATCCCCGACTTTAAAAGAAGAAGGAAAAGATGATTATTATGAAGATGAAGTTTGACTCTCATTTATAGAAGAAATTACATCTTTAAAATTCTTCTATTTTCCGTCTGGTAAAAGAAAGGATTATTTAAATCTTTAGGTGTTGGTGGTTTAGCCGAGTCAACTGTGGCCCATGAACCAAGAGCTAGTCTGTGAATTTTTGAATGAATTCATCCCAGAATGGCTTATGTCTTTTGAGGATTGCATAGAATTTTTTAAAAAATATTTTAAAAAAATACTTTTTTGGTTGTGAATTATTTAATTCGAAATTTTAATTTAATGAAAAGTAATAGTTTGCTTTTCTTATTAATTGCGAAAAGGAATAATTCTTAAAATATATCGACTTTATATCAGTATAATGATGCATTTGTCTTTTCACGATGACAAAAAAAAGAGATATGTATTGGTTTTTCCTCATTCCTGTTGTAAATAATTATTAAATTCATGTTGGTACCAACACAGCAAGAATAATATGGCAGAGAAAATTAATGAATATTTTTATTGGCAACTTTCATTATCATACAAATATTTACACATTAATGACAATAATTAAAAAATATGCAATACCACTCACTATTTATTATTAATCATGATATTTCCAATTACAAAAAGAAAAAAAAATGGAATTGAAGTAATTAAAAAGAAAAAAAGTGGCTATTATTAAACTTCAATAATCATTGCATTAATGTTGTAAAACTCTAAAATACATTGGAATCACTATTGCCTTCATGAGACCTAAGATAAACTCATCTCTTTCTTTATCTAACCTGACTCCTCAACAGATTCTTCTTAGTAGCCATTTCCCTGTAATACACACAAATTACCAACGCAATTTTATAATAATGATGACGGAACCATCCCTCCTCATCCATCTCAATGGGCTCAAATTCAATTACGGAGCTAGTTGATGTTTCTGAATCGTCATTTTTTTATCCATATCCAAGAATGGCCAGCCACTATTTGTATAAAAACCACCTGGTTCTTTATCAACATCTCTCGTTATTTGTGCTCAATTTAAAATTGACATTCCTTCATGATTATATAATTTATATACCAATCATTTACGCCTTCTATAAACTTGTCCCCTGTAATAAAATATCAAATGTTGTAATGTTGCAACATACCCGCAACTTTACATATTACATAAAACTATACATAGTGTTGCAACATAACCACCACGATACAGTTAAAAATATTATTATTATAAAACATTTGATATGGTCGCACATCTTTAAAAAATGACAAACATAGCTTACAAGTAGCTTCGTAATATCCATTACAAGATTGTTATCATGTGTAAAATATTCCTAGTTATCGGTAGCAAAATTCATCTTTAATTATTATAAGAAAAATATGAAAAAGAAATAGCTTTAAAATGCATAAAACTAGTAAAGTAAGGATTGCGGTTGGTCCTTGACCTTGACCTTGTCCTTGTTAACTTCGAACATTATATTTTCGTAATGATAATAAATCTATCCCTAACGACGAATTTATACTAATCCCGTGCATAATTATTTTCTCTTATTTTATATTTGTCTCTATTAATTTTATTATTTTTTATTTCTTTTCTTTTCTTTTAGTGAGGTAATATTAATAAACCTTATTTAGTAGTTTTGGAGACGTACCTGACTTGGTAGTAAAGAGGAAAACGGCTAGAAAGGCACCCACCAAGAAACGTGATCAGGATACATAGTGTAAAATCTAAAAAGATATTGTTTAGTATTTCTTAGTATAAGAAATTGTTTAATGATAGTAAAAGATAGTTTTGGGAGTAAAGCATAAATATACATTCGCGGAAATTGTTATTACGATTTAGTATAAATAAATGGAAAAATTGTATCGGCATGTCATCATAAATAAAAATCAAGAGATTTGTGTGAGACGCGGATCTTGATCTCACAGTACCAACTCTGTTTTGCCAATATTACAACCTCCAAAACATAGTCCAAAATATGTATCCTGACTCTGGTTTGATTTTTGTCCATAATATGATTTTATATGCAGCATCCAACCCAGCATCATGATCCACAAACATTTTTGCTACAGTTCTTTTAACAACTTCATTAACTTTATTAAGCACCAAATCCTGTAATATAAGTTCCAGCTGTATAAAAAAAAGAAATTTGAAGGAATAATAAAAAAATAATAGGTTAGCCAATGTTATCCAACAATTGTAAAACAATGAAGTAATGTAAGATGCAATAATAAATGAATAAATGTTCTCATAATGAATATATAAAAGCAATAATGATACTTACTTACACCAACTAAAAAATGGGATTCGCAAAAATAAAGTCAAAAAAAAATAATGTGAATATATATGTAATTACAGCCCCTATTCTTTTGGCAAGAGTTTTCCCGATATCATACTGCACATTTCAGGTTATTGATTTCACATGATGAAATTTTACAGACACTATTTGGGATTTTATTAAGGAAACCTCTAGCACCAACCCACATAAAGCATATATATGTTAAATAAGATTTTTTGCAATAATACAAGTATTATGGATACAGTAATATGACAATCCACATGAATTTATTAATTGATTTTTTTTAATCCAGGTTGGTATTCTCCTGGCATTATTATTGTTGGTAATAACAAATTTCTGTCTTTTGTAACTGCCATACAACTGTGTTGGTACAACAAAAAATAAATAAATCCAACCTCTCTCTGCTAATTTGGCATTAATTTTTTTCAAATCAATCATTTTAATAGGATGATTCATGGCAGTAGTCATCTGGAAGAACTTGTTGGGCACAATGATAGAATCAATTTATTATCTGGTCAAAAATAGTTTCCATTAGTGATTGTTTCAATTGTAGAAAATGTATACATCTGTCACCGATTAAATTTGGGAGAGTGTATTTTAATTGGTGATAACAATTATTTTTGTTTTTGCGTGGATCAGAATGAATAGGGGATCAATGAATTGATTTTGGTATTAGCAAATAATTTTGGTTAAAGAAGATAAAAGTTTATTTAAATAAAATATTACTATTTTATTTATTTAGTTTTATTTAGTTGAAACTAATTAACTTGTTATCAAGTTACTTTTACAGTAGGTCAAATTTGAGTTCTTTATATACATGTCAATTAATTATAAGCCCATTTGGTTTCTGGAGCCCGTTTGGGTTCATGGGTGCATTGTCACTAATTTCTACTAAAGAAACATAACACAGGTATAAACAATAATAATAATAAAGTAATTATAAAAATAAAAATAAAAGTGAAAATAAATAAATGAAATTAAAAATAAATAATAAATAAAAATAGAAATAGAATTAATTTGACCTGGAATTACAAGATTTGTCCAAAATATCTTCATCAGAATCTAATTTTGGTAACATCACTCCTCCTTCTAAATTGAGCTCCTGTGAAATAAAAGTCTGTATACTATCTATCCACTTTGTTGATTCAACTTTCAAAAAAAAATTTAATTGCATTATTATCAACAAATTGATTATTGATCCATCATATAATTAATTGTGTATCCATGCACCTTTCCTGGTACAACTTTAACCTGTTTGCATGTATGAATCTTCTTTGAACTTTCCATTATGATTCCTTAATTGGTAAGTGCCATTCAATCCAATATCATGAATATAGAATGGTCCTTCCCATTTTTCTTC